TCCAGCTCTACACCTTGTTATCTCATTTTTCAATAAATTTGGCTTGACATTCTTGTCTGTATCACATGTACATACCTGTGTACTTACTAATGATATGTTGTGAACACTCCTGGAATCAGTTCCTTTTTCCTTCCCCTCCCTCATGCTTCACATTCTCATTCGACAAAAAGAAAAATTCAGACCTCTTTTTACTCCTTGAGAAATGTCGATGTCACACACTAACTAGGTTTGTCAGCAAGCTTATTGCTCCAGGCAGAACATAAGGATTTCTAAGTATTCTTTCCAGTTTGTTTTTGTCACTAACAGCACAGATTTTCAACTCGTGTTAAATCTAGATTTACAAGATATAGGCTTGGAGTTTTCACCACCTTGTGCTGTTTATTCCCCCCCACCCCCCCACCCAACGCACTTAGCACAAAATTGCCCAAACAAATGATAAACTGGAGGAATTTCAAGTGCAAGTTACAGCCAGAGCAAATCAAGACTCTGCTACCTTTTTCACAAATTTTAAAAATCTAGTACTTTAAGCAAGCCCTATCCATAAAGCTGGCTGCATTCCTGATCAAATGAATCACCACTGAGAGTTTCGAGTGCCTGGAAAATGTTTCAATTTAAGATGGTTCCTTGAATGCAAAGAAACTAATAGGCACATCTAAAAAGCTTTTGAACGCACTTTGTTTTTAGTTCATTAAAAACTACCCACTATATACCAAGTTAATTAGTAAGTAGCTCCATATATTTTTAAAAGTTATGTTTATTTATTAAACATCAGGTTACACAAATGTCGAGGAATAGACAGATTAAATAAAAGCTCTTTTTTGCAATAAACTTAGTTTCAGCTGTATTAGTCAAACTTCAACAAGGTTACCACTCAAAATAAATCAAGAATTTAAATCAACCAATGATTTTAAATCTATATTCTAAATGTTGGCAGATTATGCTGGTTCTTTACAAATTGTATAATCGGTAAAAGGCAAATATGTTCGAGTGGTAGCTTTAGGTGAAGAAACACATTTCTCAAAAGTATAAGAATTTTGGCCATAATTTTGGCCTCAAGCATTAAATGTGTCCAAAGCAGAAAGACTACACAAATATACTTGATCTGAAATATAGCAGAAATTGAATGATCTAAACATGTATATTTGGTGCCTATATTTATATGTTGCCAAAGCATACAAGGGGGTAAATTTTCCAAATTTTACTAAGTGTCAATTTCAGGGAGTTTCATGGAGGATTCTCTTCTGTGAGCCCTGGTGATTTTTCTTATGCAATTTCCCACTGCTTACCTCATTTACCATTGAGCAAATGAAGTATTATAGACATGGGATCAATCTTCTACTCAGGGAATTACTCTTCACAGAGTGCTGCTGTACAACTGACTGGTAAGTCCACGACTGAGAGAGGCAAAGAGGCAACCTGGTTTACTGACATGGACCTGGAAGATGTGGTGATGAAGAGGAGGGGCATCCTCTTCAGATGATGGCCCAATCCCAGCAAGTCTCGCCCACAGTAGCCACCTAGGTCAATGCACAGTCCAGGGTCTGGAGGCATGTACAGCAATGCCACAAGGTTAATGATCTTCTGCACATCCATAGGTTAAGTGCCTCCATTTTCTTTCTGCTGCCTTACACTCTCTCTTCTACTATACGCAGCTCCACCACTCTCTCTATTGCAAACAGCATCTTCCCTCGAGGGCTCTTACTCATCCCATTTCCCGAAACTAGTAAGTTTTTTGGTCCTCTTCACTTCTCACCCGTTTGGGTCTCGCCACCGTTCCTGTACCTGCACCAAAACTATGTGCCAGCCACTTTCATCTTGTTCAATTCCTCCCTTTGTCCCATTTCAGGAGAAAAATATCCACATTAGAGCTGAGTAGGGTAAGACAGGTGGTGAGGCAGCAGTGGTAGAAGGGGGGGTTCAGGGGGTTGGGGGGAACACATGACATTCCTCTGCTTACCCCCCTAAGGACAAGATCCTTGAATTAGTGGTACAGGATCAAGACCACTTGTGTGGGGATGTCAAGACCTGCATGTCCCAGAAACCAAGTTAAATTCATTGTGACATGCTACATTGATCTTCTATTGGCACCACTGTGAATGTATTCTTAAAGATGCTCAAACTTCCAACCCGTTTGCACAACCTGTTCCTTCTTTGTCTTCTGCAGGCACCAGTGGCATCCACACAACCTCTGCCCAGAAAGGGTCCACCCTTCCAGCCATCAGGTCCTCCTCCACCTCGGAGGAAGAAGCCACAGATCTCTCTGTGGATGCATTGGCAAAGATTCCCACACACGCTCCACCAGCTCAGATGCTTTCATCTCAGTGGGTACTTTAGCAAAACAAGAGTCAGGAGCCCATTCTGGCAAGCATATCACTAGCATGTTTCTGCAGTTAGCAAGAGAGAAATGCCTCAGAATGTCGGCACTCGGCAGTCAAAGACCAGGAACCTGTCCTGCCCCAGGCAGAAGACTCGATGGTGTCTGTCATTAACAACCTTGTGCAAATACATATACACAGGAGTAGCAGGCAAGTTCGTTGAAGACACTCAGTAAACTGGATCGAAGGTTGGAGCAGTCCGTCAACATTACTAGTACCATGCCTGTTTGCCTCTGATGGTGGTATTCAGCATCAATGGCAAGGCAATAGGGGGTCAAGGACCTCATTCTAGGCACCGTTACTTTTCAAAGGGTGTTGCCAGTAGGGACTCAGACACAGAAAGAACCACATAGAGACCCCACGCCCCACACAGATGTCTCCCCTCAGTACACTCGAGATGCACATATCCCCTCCATGTCCAATCCTGAAGAAGTCAAGCTGAGAAGGATGAACCTGCAATTAGGCAGGGCACCCTCACCATGTCCAGGCTATCTAGCCACAATGCCCTCAGGATCTTCCATTCAAACCTTCAAGGCCTACAGGGTCCACTACAGGCCAAGTTCCTTCCACCCCAGCTGTGGACCTGGAGACTTCAACTGAACATAATGGAGAGCATGGAAAAAGAAATCCTCCCAAGAACACACAGGTGATCAAGATGGCATTTTATTATACATAGAATACCGTAGATATATTAGCATATTAAATCATCACTGTCTGACTGTCATTGTAGATGCAGCTACAAGACTGAAGCACAGAACCTACCCATTTTTAAGCTCCACAAGAATCAGAACCCTGTCTGAAAACATGTTACCCATTTCCCTAATGCCCATCTTGACAGAGCATTCTGTCACTGTTGAATGTGGGAGCATCAGATTTTGCAAATCCTTCAGACAGTTGTTAATACTGACCTTTATTAAATAACATGATTGCCCTGATTGAACAATGGGCCGTATTTTATTTACATTTGGTTTTAATCAGGGGATGGTGTATTGGAGCCATTAACCATGGCTGCAGAGAATAGCCCTAGTCAACCATCCTTGTAAAGATTATGGTTCTTGAAACAAAGCGAGAAACTGAGAGCTATCAAGGACGTAGTCATCGTGGCAGGCTCTCAGGGTACCTGGTGCAGACTTCCAAGGTGTGGCAACGATGATTAAAAATTACTTTTACATTGACTGAATAGAACCTATTCCTATTGAATAAGTCAGCCATATTACAAAAAGGCACTCTCAACACGACCTATGTACATTCTGAAATACCCTGCTTCTGGAGAAGCCAGCTATGTTGCCAAAGCCTACCACTCAGGTTGTAAAACTGACATTGTCATGGGGAAAGAAAATGAAGTGGTGTGAGCTGGCATGAATTGCACTGGGAACAGCCATGATACATTTGTGGGTTGAGGATTGAAAGATCCTACACAGGTTGCCAGTGGATTCTCGGAAGCAGATGGTCACTTACACAGTAAGTACAATTGTCACCTTGATGGCCACTGAGGTAGAATGGCCACTCACCCCTTTATAGTACAAATTCAGCCCCAGCAGATGGCACAATTCTGTTATGGTGTCCCAGAACATCCTCATTTGGTGAAGTGAACTTCAATCGCCTTGAGAAAATGGCAGCAAAGTCAGTGAACCATTGCCTTCCGCAAACTCCTCCACAGCTTGAAGTGTCCTTCTTCCACAACTTCTTCATTGGAGGCTGTTTAGCATCTGCCAGAGGCTGCTGCTGGTCCCGGGCATTTGCTCCTCCTCAATCTCTTTGTGCCTTTGTTCAACTGCAGACACAACAACACTATTA